TCGAGGCCAGCCTGGTCTACAAAGCGAGTTCCAGGAAAGGCGCAAAGCTACACAGAGAAACCCTGTCTTGAAAAACCAAAAAAAAAAAAAAAAAAAAAGAAAGAAAGAAAGAAAAAAAACCCTACCCCAAGGTGTGGCTCTCCAATCTCACCACTGTGATGGACAGACAGAGGGTCCAAGCTCAAGTTTGAATAAAGACTCTTTGCTTTTACATATGGATTTGGACTCCTTGATGGTCTCTGGGGGATTCTGAGACTTGGGTATAACACGTGTGTGTGTGTGTGTGTGTGTGTGTGTGTGTGTGTGTGTGTGTGTTTTAGATTCAATCAGACTTAGTAGAGAAAGAAGGATTTTAAGAAAATGACTCTTGGGTCTGTGGGGGGCCACATTCAAGCAGGAGCTGTAGGCCCAATCCAGATCTGAATCAGAGATGGACACAACACAGTCACACAGGGACAGGGAATTCTAACCCTGACCTGCAGCTGATCTCCAGCCAAGCACCTACTCCGTGCCTTGCAGCCAAGTGGACTGAATGTAGCCAAATGTATCAACCAGGAGCCTGCCCATGGCTTCTGGTGGTGAGTCACTATAATAATCTACTCCTGGCGATGAGAAAGCATGGCCCAGCCCTGCGTCATGGCCACCGGAGTGAAACAGGGAGACTCATACAGAGGTCTGGGGCTGCCCACCCAGGGCACTGAAGAGAAAACACGGGCCCACCTGGTACCTTGTAGCACCAGTCAGTAGGCCATTACTGGAGTGAGCAGAGGTATGGTGTGGTGTTTTATAGGGAAAGTGTGTGTGTATGTGTGTGTGTGTGTGTGTGTGTGTGTGTGTGAGAGAGAGAGAGAGAGAGAGAGAGAGAGAGAGAGAGAGAGAGAGAGAGAGAGGGAATGGTTCAGGTCCTGTGGATAGAGGCATATCTGAAGAGATGAGAAAGGAAGGAAGCAGGCTGAGATGGTGTGGGAGCTGACCTCTTGAGCAGCAGTAACACGTGGGAAAGTGAGCCCTACACTTTGTCTGGGCAGCACAACAGGGATGACCCTGTTGATGAAATCATAGATGATCCAACTGTGAGGATGGATACATGGGAGACCTAGCCCCACCCCTCATCTGCCACATAGTGACATGGGCTGGGGAGAGACGTCCCCCCACCACCCCAATTAACACCTGGGGCAGGTGGGAGAGCTGGCCCTATGGTCATAAGAGCTGGAGAGCTGTCCCTGACCCCCTCCAGCTGCAACACTTGGGAAAGCAGGCCCTGCACCTTGCCAGGGCAGCACAACAGAGCCAAACCTGTTAGCACAAGTGTGGGTGAGCCAGCCCCAAAGATGTGAGCAAGGAAGAGCTGTCCCCATTTCCTATCTGAGCCCCCCCATCAATGCCTGAGGCAGATGAGAGAGCTAGCCCTGTGATCATAAGAGCAGAAGAGCCATCCCTGACCCCACCAGCTGTAACACGCAGGAGAGCAGACCCTGCACTTGCCAGGGTAGCACAATAGAGCCAACAGTTAGCACAGGTGTAGGTGAGCCAACCCCAAAATTGTGACCATGGGAGAACTGTCCCCATTTCCTACCTGGCAGACCACCCCTACAGCTGCCCAGGCCCAGACCCAGAGTTATAACTTTGCCTGCCCCAATAACCACCCCATCTATGATCTCGTGAAGGGACCTGACCCACAGACCCCAAACTGCAGGATCTCAACACAGGGAGGCAGCAGGATGTCCAAGAGGAGTCCGAGTAGGGGCCCAGCATTGAACATGAAGTGGAGACCAAGGGCTTTGAACCAGACCAATAACTCCTTGCAATGAACACTTGCAAGGAGAGATATATGAAATATATTGATAAAGGGCTATAGGGCGTGACTTCTTGGGTCAAATATCAGCTTCCACGATGAGATTTTTAATTCCTTCCCTTTTTAAAATTTGTCTCATTTTATTTTCTTCCTTTTTTTCTCTTGAATTTTGTTTTATTCATTGGGCCAGTGTGCAGAGGCAGAGGACAGATGCAAAGGGATGGGGAATGAATGGGATCAAGAGACATGATGTGAAAAACACAGAGTAAGGTTTTAAATATGGGCCACTTCACAGCAAAAAAGATAATCTAAGCAACTCCTCAGTATTTGGGGGATGGTCTCAGGTACTTTTGGACCCTGACTCTGATGTTTTTTTAACTGTAATGCACAGGTTTACTATTTACTAAACAAACTGGTCAAAATGCCCAGGGCTCTGAAGTCTCGATCTTAGGCTAAACTATGCACATTCTTCCACGAGTTAAATGACTTCAAAATGAGCAACACCGTACAACACTGTGGTTGAGCTGATAGCCAACTTCTGCTTCCTTAAGGAATTCAACAGAATTAGCGTGTGTCTTCAGAACTACTCAGGTGATATAGCAGGGGGAAAATGCCTGAAAGGAAACTTTGCAATAGTATCAGGCCACTAACTGACTGTGCAGGGAACTGTAAAGGATCTCTCTGGCTATGGACCCATATGCCACTACTGAGAGTCAGAGTTTATTCCTACCCCCCCCCTCCCCCCGATTGGATAAGAAGTCCTGGAGAACAGGTTTTGAGACAAAGAGACAAGTAGCACTCTCATAGCAGGACAGAGGGAAGACGAGTTTAATTCCATGTCAGACTTACTGCTGTGATATTTGCACCTTTGACATGTTTCCCCATCTCTTACACGCTACTTTAGCTATTTAAGAGCTGAGTGTGGAACACAGAATCTTAGAGGTTCCACCCATCTATGATATGAGATAATACAGGGTCTTTTCTCACCAGCAGGATTAGAGTTTTACTCCTTGAACTACTCAGGGTTACTATTGCTATGATGAAACACCAAGACCAAAGGCAAGTTGGAAAAGAAAGCGTTTATTTGGCTCCCACTTCCACACTGTAGTCCATCACTGAAGGAAGTCAGGGCAGGAACCTGAAGGCAGGAGCTGATGCAGAGGCCATGGAGGGATGCTTGCTCAGCCTGCTTCCTATAGAACCCAGCACCACCAGCTGAAGGGTGGCACACCCAGAATAGACTAGGCCCTCCCCCCTCAGTCACTGATTAAGAAAATGTCCTACAGGCTTGCTTGCCGGGTTTTTTGGGGGCATTTTCTTAATTGAAGTTCCCTCCTCTCAGGCTGGGTGGACAAACCAGCCAGCACCACCTCCCTTCCTGACTCAATGGAGATTCAGAACATAAGGATTTGACAGTCCCTCCAGAGAAATGATGTATATCCAGACATGGAAGTGCACTCACAGGATTGAATTGTGATATGCCAAAAACACTCAAAAGGAATCAAGCCAAATGTGAGGGAAGAGGGCACAGAAGCAACCACTCATTCAAGGAAGACACCTGAAATGACCGTAAATGCTGTTTTAATAGAGATATTCCTATTGAGATTTGCTGCCAGGGCCAGCTGCAGTACATTTTACTCATGTCTACTACATTTGGTAGTTCCCCAGGGGCCAATTCATTGCCATCTATTGGGATTTTAACGTTCACAAGGTTACCAGCCTTGTTCTTGTTTGTAGTAATTCTTGTACCTGTCCTGAAAATCTGGGGTGAATATTCTAGAATGAAAAGTCACTGAAGAAGCGTGGGGTGATGTTCTGATTATAAAACGGCAAATGTTCCAGTTTGGGCGGAATTTTGTAGAAAGGGACCCTGGGGGACAGTTCAGGTAGAAACTGGGTTTGACAGACACTTAAATATAGACTGGAGAGGTTTTGTACATGTCTGCTTATCCATTTTGTTTTGTTTTTTGAGATAGGGTTTTTCTGTGTAGCTCTGGCTGTCCTGGAACTCACTTTGTAGGCCAGGTCAGACTTGATCTCACAGAGATCCTCCTATCCTCCTCCCCCAATTTTTTTAAATAATGAGTACCCTCAATGTTATAAAAGGGATGGGCTTCTTTTTGTCCCTCCCCCTTTCCTCCCTCTTTTGAAATGATATAGTCTATTACTTTTGAATGTTATTTGCCTCTGAACATCCGAAATAGCAATTTTTATTTGCTGGTCTCCAGAGCATTTAGATTCAGTGACAGTATCAACGTGCTTTTGTGTGAACAAATATACCTGTTAAACTAACTCAGTGTGATCAATTCCCATTCTGCAGTGAAGTGGAGAAAAATCTTAAATGCATATCATTTTCATTGCAAGATCCTTGCCCAGGCAATCTAGATTAAAAGACATTGGGGAAAAAAAATTTCCAGAGTCAATTACGGATTGAAATGAGGATCAATAGGTATAAGGGATGCCTGGGACAAAGCCCATTCGGTGGCAAGTGGTCCTGTTTAGGACTAGATTTCAGTAGCTAACACACAGTTAACTCTTTGACAGCTGGAGGCCCTCCTGATGGGTAGTTTACTTCATTTAACTCTTACAATGCCCAGGGAGTAGTCTTCATGAGTAGTCTTGCCCCAGAATTTAAGAAACTAACTAGGATCTCTGTTATTTTCAGAAGTGCTTTTAGAGTCCGCTGGCTTCCCTTTCCAAGGCTCCATCGCCTAAACAGAGACGTTTTGGGGTGGCTTGTTTTGCTTTTCCCAATTCCCAGAATGCATTTTTGGCGAGAAACTGTTTTTTTCCCCATTTCCTGCAGGTCCATTCTGATGAGAGTAGTTGCAATATTTAGGATGTTCAGTTTGGGTTTGTAACCTGGACCAACAGCGGTCTCGTCATGCCGCTGCCTGGGGCTGGTGGTGCTGGCCTCCGCAGAAGCAAGAGGAGTCCTCCCCAGTTTCAGAGGGAGAATCTACCCTGTGCTGCCCTAAAAAGACAAAACCACCCACCGCCTGCCACAACACCCTAGACCTAGGGCTTCTTTGGACTCCAGGAGGAGGGTTGGGGACACCAAGGCACTGCCGGAGCGCCCTCTGGCGACAGCAGAGCGCGCGCACCCCCGCCTCCCCGACCCCCTCCGCCAGCGCGGCGCCCCCGCCCGGCGCTCCAGGTTCCCTCTCGGTCTCTCACTCCGTGAGACACAGACGGCAGCTTTCTGAGCGAACCCGGCACCAGCTGAAGCAGCGCCACCGCAACTGCCAGCGCCAGGACAAGCCCTGGGCACCGGGACAGAAGGCGAAGCCTGGCAGCCGGGTTCCTCTCTCTGCACGGTCCTTGCAGTGGAGCCGGTAGCTCCGGGTTCCCTCCGACCCCCTTCGCTGCCACTTGGCGGGGTGTGCCAGGACTTGGGTCGCGGCTGGGGAAGAGCCCGGGCTGGAGGAAGCGGCGGCCCGCCGAGCGAGGGTGTGCAACCAGGACTGGATAGCAAGCCGAAGGCACTGCGCTGGGAGGCGGCGGCCGGAGCCGCGGGTGCCTCGCCGCTTCGCCGCTTCGCAGGCGGCACCGCCTCCCGGGCCGGGGCTGCTTGGCCGGGTTCTCTGCGTGTTCCCCGGGCCCGGAGCCCGCGCACTATGTGCCCCGCAGCGTTCTGATAGCCGCCCGCCACCGCCTCCGCCGCGATGATCCCCCCGGAACCTCCGCAGCCCCAGCTGCAGCCGCCACCGCCGCCGGCCCCGCCGAACCATGTGGTGACCACCATCGAGAACCTGCCAGCTGAAGGCAGCGGCGGCGGGAGCCTGTCCGCCTCCTCCCGGGCTGGCATGCGCCAGAGGATCCGCAAAGTGCTGAACAGGTGAGCACAGGCGCTCAGCGGGGACGCCGGGGACAGGCGCTGTGGGCGCCCAGCCCGAGGTCCCCTCGCCCGATCCGACGTCCCCGAGGTCCTTTGGGACTGGGTCCGGGCCAGGGGAGATCAGTGAGCCAGGGCGAGCTCTCCCTGCGCTCGCAGGGAGGCCGCGGCAGCTTTGTCCTGGCGCCGGGATACCCTGAGTGGCGGGGCTGCAGGCAGGTCCGGGAAGCCAGTTGGGGAGAGGCGGGGTTGTTCTACCTGCCCTGTGTGTGTTCACACTCACGTCTGGCATCCGCACGTTGGTTCACTTCCCTTTTCCACTCTTATCCCAGCTTTGCGCTCTGGGGACCCCCCCCTTGGACATGGCCTGGGCGGAGGCGGGAAGGCGCCGGGCTGTGGTGATGCTGTGGAAGTCACCAACCTCGCGCTGTCTTTCGCTCCGCCCTGGTGGCACCGACTCCCCTCCCCAGGGCCATAGGGTCGTGGTGAGGACCCCCCCTCCCCACCCCTCTGCCCCCAGACAGAAGGGGAAAACACTTCTGCTTGATGCTTGAGTCGCTGTGCAGACTCTTGGTGGCTTTGGAGCAAGGAAAAGAGGCTAGAGGCCTGGACCAGACCAGAACAAAGTGCAAAATACTGAGGGAAGGGTGTGAGAAGCAGGTGCCTGGTTACTGTACCCCGAAACTGAGCCGGAGGATCGCCCTGGCCTTCACTGCTGGAATCTGCGTAGTGGGTTATCAAGGAAGGACATGTTTTAGGATAAAGACTCTGTTCTCTTGAAAGTGGCATCTCCTATAATACCCTCACTCAAATGTGATGTGAAAGGGACTTTGGCCACTTAACTAACTTAAAATGATTGACGAGCTGATGGGGAAAATTCACCTAACCAGCTGTGTGAGTGTGTGCTTTTCAGTGCTTCTGCAGGGCAACCCATCCACTCGCGTTATTCTTACAGGTTTCTGTGTGGTACCGTTTTTGGTAGCAGAGATTCCCTGATGGACTCACATGGAACTGTTTGGGTCATAAAGCTCCACTGAGAGCATAAATATATGTTGAGAAATAACTTGAAAATATTTTTATTTGGAGAGTGTCGTTGCATACGATCCAAAAATTGCTTGTTAAAACCCAATGTTTATAGTAACTTATTTATAGATGTTTCTGTCTAATAACAAATAAAAATTTCACTCTTAAGTGAGACTTGAATTGGCAATAGAAAGTCAGTTTTACCTGGTCATTTGTAGCTTTGGCTAACACATCCTCAAATATCCCACTTAAAAGATGATTTTCAAAGGATGAAAAGAAAAAGAAATAGGGAAGAAGGTTTAGTACATATTATATGTCTACCCTGATCTTTATGAACACTTACAGTTTTTAAATCGCTAAGATTTTAAGCATAATATATTCTTAATTATGAAATTATTATTATTTTTTCTCACCGAAGTACGAAACACCGCTGCAATAGTGCATTTGTTATCATTGAGGTCATAGTGCTGTTCTGCACATATAATGAATCTTAATGTCCAGATTGATAAAGTTACAGAGGTAGGTTTGCAGGGACTTGGGCATTTATCATTCCTTTGCCTCTGCCTAGCCGCAGGGCTGTGGCACAACCGTTCATCTTCTCTGGTGTTGGGCTCTCCCTTTGTAGAACATTTAGTGACACCTGTCTCAATGCCCTATCATAGCATGATTTTGAGAATTAGATAAGACCGAAGGCAGGGGGTGGGGGAAATCACTTTGGAAAAGGGAACGTTCTAGGTATCATTTGTTCAGCCCAGTTGTGTTGCCCAAGACATGTCCATGAGAGCAACACAGGTCAAGAAGGTGAAGTAATGGCTTCACATCGCATTTTACTAAGCCCTATTTGATCTGCGGCTTGAGCGGCATTATTTCCTATGTAGAGAGGGGAAACTGAGATTCAGGTTGGGTTGATGACATTTTTTAATCTCAAAAATATGTGGAATTGGAACCCTAGGATTAAGTCATTTAGACCTAAATGAAAAACAGTTCTTGTTTGTCTCAAACTCTTCAAAGATTTCAAAATTTCATCTTTTATGTTATCACAAGTTTCCCTCATCCTTCAAAAGGTAAGGACACGTTATCCTTTTGAAAAAAGGACATCTTTAAGGAGACTGAAAACAGCAAGAAAATATTTTAAACATCGTAATGGACTCGTTTTGTTTGCACGATGGACTTGGCTTTTGTGCCGGGATTGCTTCAGCAAGAGGAGTAGAAGCTAGGCTCCCTCCTATGGAAAGAGCTTGAGCAGTGGAGGCTGGCAGTGCTGAGCCATAACTCTTCCTGTTGACCTATCATGGAGTGTAATGGCTATCAAGTCGGCTCATTGGGGCCCATTCATGAGCATCTTTGTTTATTGGTCAAAATCTCAAGATCGACTCCTTTTCTTTCTTTGCCTCTTTCCCCTCCCCTCTCTTCCTAATACTTCTGCTTCCTTCACCCACATTGCCTATCCATTCAGTGTTGTCTGAGGCTCCTTTTCAAGTATCCCTGGCATGCAGCAACTTAGCTTCTAAGAGAGATAGATCCATTCCAAACCCATGAGCTCCAGCCAACATAAGAGATACCTGTCCAGCATTTGGCATTAATATATAGAGTTGGCAGCATTCTGTTGCTGTGAGCTGGTCTAGCAGTCTCTTTGTTTCCTTACGAGGGAGCCGCTCTAGCCATCTCCTTGGGAATATTTCTGAGAGAGAGGCTGGGGAAATGGGGTGGGGAGTGTCAAACTGTATGATAAAGCAAGCCTAGTAAACTGTCTGTTCTTGGTCAGAGCTACCTGTCAGCCAGAGAAGGGAATGAAAACATATCAATTGTGTGTCTATACCCTGTCCACTCAGGGACAATTAAAGAGAGTTAAGATGCTAATTGATACTTAACTAATGGTACCTGCTCTCAGAAATCTTAGAATGAAAATATAATGTGAACAGTCAGTGAATATCCATCTTTCAGAATTGTGCATCAATTTCTTTCTTTAGTGGAGTACCATCTATTGACTTTAAACACCCACAGAGCTAGATTGCTGCATTTTATATGTGAGAATTAGGGCAGCTCACTGATGGTCTAGTCTCCTTCTGAATAGCAATTAGAATATCATATTATATAAGACTTTAGGGAAAGAGGAGGCACTGGATCATTCTTTTTTTTTTTTTTTTAACCAGTTAATAGTATGGGTCTCTACTCAAAATTACTTTTGAGAAAGGATACAAGAAATAGAAGATGATTCAAATTCTGGACAAATGATTACCCTTTGGTTTTAAAGATGCAAAATTATCCATTGATGTAGATAGATAAAGAAAAATTATGGCAAACTGTTTTTCACTTACTTTTTGTTTTTGTAGAACAACAGTATTTATTATCCTGCCAGAGACAAGCAAGATACAATAAATAGAAAATGCTTCAAGGTCAACAGTTGATAACCCTTCCACAGAAACTGCTGACCAAGTAGATTTCTTTGAAACATACAGGAGTAGGCACTAGTTATATATTAAAGTGCCAAAGAATTTCCTCTGAAACGATTAGTTAATAAAATGTCCCTTAAAATGATTGCTTTGTACATGTAAGATTTTATTGGACTTTTTCTACTTTGACATCATGAGTTTCCAGTTTTTGATCAATTTTCTTCTCAGTAAAACAGTTGTTGGGTTGTGTGGGGGTAATAAAGCTGTCACTGAGTTTCAAATCTTGTAGTAGAGATGTTTAATTATTAGATAGAAGTATTAGTGTTTTGGAACATCCATTCATTTGGAATTAGTTTTCAACTTAGATTTATTTTACTAATTTTCAAGCTTTGGATGCTTTTGAAAATTGTAAACCAAAGAACATTAAGGCAGAAGAATGCAAGAAAATTGGTAGAGAGCTTGCATGAGATCCATGCCAAACCTGAGAAGTTATGATGTAAGAGGGGTCAGTGTGGATACACAATATTTCTGTGTCACAAGGCAAGTAGAATGTTGTTAACTGATGGAATGGTTGCTGAGAAATAAGACTTTGCATAAATACTGTATTAGATCCAGCATGAAGACATGGTATAATGTAGATGATCCTTTCTTTTGAAGTTAGAAGGCTTTTTTGAGGTTCCACCTCAAGCTGCTTCTTTTTTTTTTTTTTTTTTTTTTTTTTAGTTTTTCAAGACAGGGTTTCTCTGTGTAGCTTTGCGCCTTTCCTGGAACTTGCTTTGAAGACCAGGCTGGCCTCGAACTCACAGAGATCCGCCTGGCTCTGCCTCCCGAGTGCTGGGATTAAAGGTGTGCGCCACCACCACCCGGCTCAAGCTGCTTCTTCTAACAGATGTAAAAAAAAAAAAAAAAAAGAGGAAGATCAACTCATAATGAGGATATCAGACAAAGAATATCCCAAATGGAACTGGGTGATTAAAAACAAACATTTGAAGGATCAGTAGTAAATAAAGGGTGTCTGAAGGATGTACTTATTTTTAAGTAAAAGGACAAATTAACTTTTAAAATGATCATCTAGGATTTTTGTATTTATGCACTGTACTTGGGTGAATGTTCAGTAAAGGAATATTTGGCTTGCCTTGGTAAATATGACGCATTTCCGTCCAAGTAATTAATGTGTAATCAGATAGACATGCATTTGCATAACTGTTCTTTGTTCACTTCGTCAAAATCTGGTAGCTCCATAGGGCCATCCAAATAGATACCTATTCCCACAATTCACTGCTGCAAGGTGTAGACACTACAGGTGATTGAGCTGGCCAACCAGGTAACTCTGAAGTTGCTTAATGCAAAGGCTACTATTTTTATTAGGTTGTTATCACCCTGAGTAAAATCCAGAACGTGAAAGTTTAACCTTTAGGTTTTAGTTGAGCACTTTTTGTTTGAGTTCAGGCTAATGAGCATTTACTGTACATTGTTCAAACACATTTTTTTTTATTGTACATCTAAAGGAGTTTGGCTAAGAAGTTAAACTCCACTTGACATATGGAAAAATCCATAAGTATTTGATGTTTCTTGACTGTCAAAAAC